GTCATGGGAGCCCCGTCGTCCAGAGACGCCGCAGGAGCGCCAGGAGCAATCGGAGCAGGACCCGCGACCCGTGGCGGCGCGGCGGCGCCAGCGCGCGTGGCGGGCGGGCCGCGCGGCGCTCCAGCGACCGCGGGGGCTCGCGCACTTGGGGCCGCGCGGTCGGCTTCCCCGTCGGCCGCGAACCCCTCGGGCTCCTCCATCTCGTCGGCAGAGTGGTAGGGGGGAGCCCGATCGGCCCCTGGGAGAGGCTCTTCCCCTGCGGTAGGCGGGGCGCCGTGCAAACGAGCGTAGCCCTCGCGAAGCGCCCGAACCCCCGAAGGATGCGGCCAATAGACGCGGCTGCGCACCTCGGCGAAGGGAACGATGCCTGCGTCGTCGCCGACCTCTAGAGGGTACAGCGACTCGAGCTCGAGCTCGGCAACCTCGATATCTATAACGAGGACGGATGCGGTAGTGGCGAGCGGCCGTGAAGCGGCCCCCTGGAGCTGGACGTCCACTAGCTGGAAGGGGCCTATCGTCCCAGCAAAGCCATCCGCCTCGGCAGCCTCGAGCTCCGCTGTAGAGCGAAAGGCACCAGGCAGGGCCAGCAGGATGCCCCCTTCTCGAGAGGCGAGGGGGATAGCCGCCCAGCTGGTGTCGCCGTCGTCTAGGCGCCATCGTGCGTAGTCGCGCGCCGTGGGCGCAGCGAAAGGGTAGAGCTCGGGCCATAGGGGCCCTCCGCCAACTGGTGGCAGCTCCGCCATCAGTGGGCGCCGCCGTGGACGCCGCCGCCCGCACGCTGGGCGTCTGCCCGCTCGAGCGCTTGAGGTCGAGGCGGAGCCCCGTAGGCCAGCGCTCGCGCCGCACGGCGGTCCTGCTCAGGTGAAGCAGAAACCGCGCCGCGCGGCAGGCGGAGGGCCAGAGCCTCCGCCACACGTACGGGCCCAGCAGCCCGAGGCAGCAGCCCGCGCAGGCGCTGCAGGCGGCCGAGGCAGACGGTGGGGCAGGTGGAACCCGCCGAAGGGAGAGGGCAGGAGGCCCCCTCACCCTCGGACGAGTCCGCCTGCTGGATGGACCAGGCAGGCGATGGAGGCCCCTGGTCCTGAAGCACAGAGAGGGGGGCAGCCACGAGCCGCTCGTAGAGCGCGGCCCGCAGCCCCCTGAACAAAATCTCCCCAGCGCCCTGGAGAGCCGCTTGTGCGACCGCCTGCATAAGGCGCCCGCACGCGCGGCCGACGGGGGGCACTTGGGCAGAGAAGCTGCGGAGACAGCAGGAGCTTGCTCACAGAGAATAGAAGAGGCATACATACAGACACACACACACATACACACATACACACATACATACATACATACATACATACATACATACATACATACATGTGGTTTCTCTCTCTCTCTCTCTTTCTCTCTCCCTCCTCCCCCTTCACATCCACGAAAGGCCCAGCCAATGGAACCCCGAAGGGACGCCATGCGAACGCCTCCACGGGGGACATTGCTGGAGATCCTTTGCACGGATGCTTGCGGTAGTGACCCTTAGGAAGTGCTCCTGTTAGACCCAGCCAATGAGACCCCGAGGGGACGCCATGCGATCGCCTCCACGGCCATTGCTGGAGATCCTGAAAACGGACGCTTGAAGTAAGGTGCCCGTAGGAAGCATTCCCTGTAGTGAGAGGTCCCCAGTAGGGACCTCTGTAGTAAAAACTCACTAGTCACGATGCCTGTGTCAAGGAACCCTGGGGAAGGCCACCGTTGGTGAGGAGTCCTCAGTGAGCATTCGTCAACACGGATGCCTTTATTAAGGGATCATAGGTTCAAATCCCTTTAGTGAGGAGTCCCCAGTGCAGATGCCAGTGGTAAGGATCCCCTCAATAAAGATCCATGTAATAAAGACGGCTGTAATAAAAGCTGGCTGTAATAACGGGCCCGCAATGAAGATGTCCTCCCTCAACAAGGACCCGCAATAAAGGTGCTTTCGTACGGGATGATAAGTGAGGATTCCGTTGGAACAAAGGCCTTGGACAGGAGACAACGGGGGGGGGGCTGGCTGCTCTCTCTCCCTCTCTCTGTCTCTTTATCTCTCTCTCTCTATTTCTCTATCTCTCTCTCTCTCTCTCTCTCTCCCCCTCCTTCCCCTTTCACTTTCACGCGAGGTCCTATCAATGACACCCCGATGGGACGCCAGGCGATCGCCTCCACTTGGGGCCAGTGCTGGAGGTCCTTTGCACTGACGCTTGCTGTTGAGGGGCCTGCAGTGAACGTTCCTTTTGTGAGGGGCCCTTGGTAACCACTCGCTGGTAAGGATGCCCGTGTCAAAGAACCCTAGGGACGGTTCCCTTTAGTGAGGAATCCGTGTTGATGGTGTCTTTGGCAACCCTTCGTCGACCAAGATGGCTGTACCAAGGAATATTTAGTAAGAATCGCTTCAGTAAGGAATCCTTAGTCAAGGATCGCCTCGATACGAACCCCTGTGGTCCGAAACCAACCTCCAGGGACCAGAATTGGCGACAATCCGGCCACCATCCCGATGTGCTCCAGGCGCTAGATGCCTTGAAAGGCCCCTCTGGCGAAGGGAGTCACTCTTGTACGCGTATAGCCACGCACTGCGTACAGGGCAGGTTTTAACTCATAGGGTTTTAATGATATAGGATTACGATATACGATTCATGTATGAATGATCTTAGGCATGAACTCATCGTTGCTTTTAGTACTAAACCCTGCATTTTTAATACATGATCCGCACGCGGAGCATGTATGAAAAAAGGCACTGTATTGACTACCTACCAGACCACCCCAACCCAACCCGAAGACCCGAATTTCGGGTTGGGGGGGGTAAGGGTTCCACATGTGTTTTTTGAATGTTTCCCGCCCCCCCCCCCACTGGAAATCGAGGGAAAATATGAGCCTTCGGGTTGGGTTGGGGTGGTTTGGTGGGTGGTGATGTAGGGAGCCCTCGTTACATCGGCCGCTGTCCTCCGCACCCGGCGATCTGCTGCCTCTTATGGTCTCCGGAGGTCTGCGCGGTCTTCGGCCGTGTCTGGAGGTTCTTCGGAAGCTGGCTGGCTGCGCTGGGTCGGGCATGCCCCCCTACAGTCGGGGGGACGTAAGACCTGGGTACAATCCCCGACGAGGTCGTCAACAAAAATGACGATGCCGAGCCTGCATTTTGACGAGGCCTCCCGCTGCAGACATCCCACGAAACTCCTACTCGTCAAAATCCGAGCCGCGGTCGTCAAAAAACGATGGCGAACCCGAGTCCTGGCAAACCCGGGTCTTACGCTCCCCCGATACAGGCAGATCTTGGAGGAAACATAAGCAAGATGCCAAGATAGTCCAAGACGATCCGAATGACTAAAAAAATCGTCTCCGCATCATTTCTTCAATACTTTTGAATATTCCTCCTCTAGAGGCACATGCCCGCCTTGATGGCTGCGTTCAACTGGGAGGCCCATGATCGGACCCCTGGCGAGGGCAGGACTGAGAGAGGGTGCGTTCGGGGGGGGGGGCCAGGTGGGCAAACACCGACCTGGAATCGACGATAGGAGGGGGAGGGGGAGGGGGAGGGGGAGGGGGGTCCGTAGCCATTTTGGCCCAAGCCGCCCACCAGCGGGCGAAACCCACGTTGTTCAAGCCAGCTTGGCACGTGCAAGAGTTTCGCTGCAAAGGAGGATGACGACGGGAGGCTCCCCAGCGCGGACTGGACGTGGGCCAGAGAGCGGCAAAGCGTGGGCGCGTCGCTCTGCTGCTGCGCTGTCTCGTCGTCTCCGCCGAGAGCGGGCTGCGGATTCGGACAGCAGACGCGCCGCAGACGCCGCCGACGGAGCTCTTCTTCAGATGGAGGTCCCGCGTGAGGTCGAGGAGGAGCTCAAGCCGAGGACGGCTGCGCTGGGGAAAGCACCCCTCCTGCACTGGAGGGCCGATGGCGTCCTCGGGGCGCGCCGGCACCGGCTCGGCGACGCTCTTCGAGCTCTGCGTGCAGCTCCTGGCCTGTCGGAAGGGAGAGCCTCGCCACTCTCGAGCAGATCGAGAGGCTAAGCGAGCTGGCTCGGCATCTTCCGCTCTACACGGCCGCGCCTGGCGGCGTGGACAGCTCGGAGGAGATCAGCGCCGCGGGGGAGGGCCTGCGTGCCGGGTGCTGGGCGGGGGAGATGAAGGGGAAAAGAGGAGAAGAGGAGAGGAGAGGAGCAGAAGGAAGAGGAGGAGGAGGAGGAGGAGGACGAGGAGGAGGACGAGGAGGAGGAGGAGGAGGAGGAGGAGGAGGAGGAGGAGGATCAGCGCCACGGCTCCGTCTCTCGTCCCGGGTGCTGGGCGCTGGCTGCCGCTCCCGCCGCGGGGCGGGTATTGCGGTGCGCGTGCGGCGCCGTCGAGTGCTCGACCCTGGACGTGGAGCCGCCGCAGTGGGGCCCTTGGAAGATCACCGCCCAGCGGTCGGAAGCCCCTTCTCACTTCCCCCCGCGCTCGCCGCCAATTCCCTCTCTCCCCGCTCATCTCTCTCCCAGAGCTCTTGTTAAAGGGGCAATAGCGCTATCAGTGACGCTTAGCGGAGGTGCGCTGTTTGCTAGTTGAAAACTACTCCAATTCCCGTCAAATCTAATCGTCAAGGTCACTCTTGCAATTTTTACCTCAGCCGGGGAAATCTCCCCGACCTTGGTTGGAGTGTGACAAGCTGCCTGCCCAGCAGCAGGACCCCTCCACAGCAGATCGGAGCGGGGACGCCCCGTGGAGCCGCTGCAGTGCAGCTAGGGCCCCTACCTCGCCATCGCTCGGACGTCCATTTTTTGTGTTCTTTTCGGTTTCGTGCGTGGATTTTTCGCCAAATGATCAAGGATGCTCCTCGATGGTCCTCGCCGAGGAAAAAAAACGCACACGTCCGAGCGATGCCAAGCTACGGGGGATCACTGCCCTGCCGCCGCCGTCGCCGCCGCCGTGGTCGCAGGTGGGGCTGTGCGGGTGGGCGGCGGTGCTGAAGGTGATGATCGGAGTGCGAAGGCTGCCGGCGCCGGCGCCGATTTCTACGCGGCCGTGGAGGAGCAGCGGCGGGCCTGGCTGGACATCCGCTGTGCTGCTCAGCCGTGTGTGCGGCTGCGCGATCGTGTCGATCGTGCCCTGGGCGCCCAGGAGCCTGAGGTCGGAATACGCGATAGTGAGCACCCTGTATCTTCCCTGTTCAGGTTCGCTCGGGGCTCGGCGCGCGAGGACGGCTTGAGTTCCACGTCCAGTTCCGATCGTGTCACGACGAGAATGAAGTACAGGAAAGGGAGGAGGTCGGCGACTTCTTCGATGAGGGCGGGAGCCCATGAGGAATGCGAGCAGTCTTGAGCCGTCTTCCCAGATTGCCTTTCCCATCTCATTGCAGGCTTTGCTAGCGGTGACGGTAGTAAGTAGATGAGCCAACGGGAGCCAACAGGAGGAGGAGGAGGAGGAGGAAGAGGAGAAGGAGGAGGAGCAGTATATAGATCGGAGGTAGGCCCCCGATAAGCAATCCGCACGTTCATGGCCGCGTTGGACCACCAGCTGGCGGGCGAAGAGCGGCACAGCAAAACTTGCTCGCCGCCGTCGGGGACGCCTGTCCCGGGGCGGCCGGACAGCTGATACCCCCACAGTGGCACGCCTGGGCGTTACCTCTCCAGCCGCCCTGGGACAGGCGCCCCCGGTGACGGAAACGCTTGCTTGGTTCCTTTCCTCGTTCTTCGCCCGCGAACCTTCGGTCGGGCGTGTCCTCCGATAGGTGGACGTAGGACGACAGAGTAAAGATAGGCCCAACAAAAATACTCAGACATAGCCTGTTGCTCAAACACAATCATCCCCCTACTATTTTTTTAAATCGGCGGTGGACAAACCTCCCTTTAATAAACCTCCCCATAGTGAAAACGGCCTGGGACCGACACCGACGAGCCTGGACCCGCAAAGACGACGGCCGCGACGCCCTCTCGCGAGCCGAAAACGGCCAATTCCTCCATCGACGTGTCCGGGTAGGAGGTCGATCCACCTCCGGTAAACCTATTTTTTTGAATACTCCTCCCGTAGAGGGGCGCGCCCGCCTTAACGCCGACTGAAAGGAGCGCGGGGCGCGGGCACGCACGAGCCTCTGCGCACCGCGCGGGGGCCCCGGCGGGAGGGGGGGGGAAAGGCGGCCAGGCAGGCGCCCTACATAGAGGTGCTGCAGCCGAGGTGTCGACCGGAGAGGGCACGCGAGAGGCCACGGGCCGCATAGCGCATAGTCATCGGGAAGGGCGACGGGCGACGGGCCACACTGAAGGGGCCCTGGGACACACAAATAAATACACACAAATATCAGGATCCCCGATATTTTCCAATATTTTCGGGTTTCTGTCTTCCCCACCACTTCCCATTTTTTCCCATATTTTCTGGGGAGTCGACGATTGATTGTGTCTGCGTGTTTTTCCCCTCCTGCCTATAGAGGTGCTGCAGCCGAGGTCGACTGGAAAGGGCACGCGAGAGGAGGCCACGGGCCGCATGGCCATCGGGAAGGGCGACGGGCGACGGGCCACACGGCTACTCGTCCCGGCCCCGTCCGGCGAAGGGCGCGGGACGCGGCCGCGCCTCGGCCGCCGAGGCCACGGCGCAACCCGGCAGCGGGCCAACGGGCCCTCCTCCTCCTCCTCCTCCTCCTCCTCCTCCTCCTCCTCCTTCTCTCTCCCTCCTCCTCCTCTCCTCCTCTTCTCCTCCTCCTCCTCCTCCTCCTCCTCCCTCCTCCTCCCTCCTCCTCCTCCTCCTCCTCTCTCCTCTCCTCCTTCCTCCCTCCCTCCCTCCCTCCCTCCCTCCCTCCCCTCCCTCCCTCCCATCCCTCCCTCCCTCCCTCCTCCCTCCCTCCCTCCCTCTCTCCCTCCCTCCCTCCCTCCCTCCCTCCCTCCTCCTCCTCCTCCTCCTCCTCCTCCTCCTCCTCCTCCTCCTCCTTCTCCTCCTCCTCCTCCTCCCCCTCCTTCCTCCTCCCCTCCTCCTCCTCCTCCTCCCTCCTCCTCCTCCTCCTCCTCCTCCTCCTCCTCCCCCTCCTCCTCCCCCTCCTCCCCTTCCTCCTCCTCCTCCTCCTCCCTTCTCCTCCTCCTCCTCCTCCTCCTCCTCCTCCTCCTCCGCCTCCTCCTCCTCCTCCTCCTCCTCCTCGTCTCCTCCTCCGTCCTCCTCCTCCTCCTCCTTCCTCCTACTCCTCCTCCTCCTCCTCCTCCTCCTCCGCCTCCTCCTCCTCCTCTCCTCCTCCTCCTCCTCCTCGCGCGCACGGGGGGGGGGGGGGGGCGGCGTCCACGGCACGCCGTAGATGCGGCCGTTGCCCGCGAGGACGGCGCCGCGCCACTTGTGCTCGCCGCGAGCGGTGACCTCTCCGCCGGGCACCTGCGGGCGGCCCGCGGAGGAGGAGCTGCAGGTCGGGGGCGCGCAAGCATGGATTAGCGATCCATGGATTTGCGGGTCGGGCGCAAGGGGGGGATAGCAAAGGGGGGGGTTGAGAATCAGCTCACGTAGCTGATTTTCCTGGCGCCTCGAGGCGGCCATGTATCGAGGAATAGGCCCCTCGGTGAGGCCGAAACCAGCTGCATGCAGCAAATTTCGTAACCCCCCTTTTCCAAATCCCACCCCTTTTCGTCCGGCCCGAGATTTGGCACGCGGTCGCCGAATCCATGGATCGGGGGAGGCGCCCTCCCCAGAGTGCGGCCGGTGCCGCCTCGCTCGACGGCGGAAGAATCCGCGATTTCCCTATGGAAAAAACGGGACCCGTCGCAAATCCACGCCCCCTTGATCCATGTTTGCGATCGCCTGACTGATGAGAATACGTACAGGGTGCATGTTCCCCACTGTTGTTTTGCTTCTGCTGCGGGGCTCTTTCCGCTCAGGGAGGCGCTCCGCCTCGCCGGGCGCTGCCAGCGGAATCCGAAGTCTGAGGAGGCTCCGCCAGCTCCTGTCAGGACGCCTCCCCTGACTGCCTACCAGACCACCCCAACACAACTCGAAGACCCGAATTTCGGATTGGGGGGTACGGGTTCCACATGTGTGTTTTCGATGCTCCCAAGGCCCCCCCCGCACTGGAAATTGAGAGCAAATCGGGGCCTTCGGGTTGGGTTGGGGTGGTTTGGTGGGCGGTGATGCCCATGACCTAGCTCAGGCTCGGACCAGCTCGGCCTCTCGCGAGGACACATCTCAGCGAGATGGCGGCGAGGCTCTCGTAGGCGAGGACAGCAGGAGGGCGGGGCCGAAGCGTCCCTTTTCTCAATCTAGCTTTGTCGTTAGAGCGGAGTTCGATTATGCCAGATTGCCCAGCTTGCCCGAGGAGGGGGAAGAAGCAATTCTGATCCATTGTTGACGGGGTGCTAGCAAGCCACTACCGAGAGCACCACGGTACGCGGCAAGTGCGGCAATGTCGAGTTAGTGCATGGTAGATCGAGGTCGCAACTGCTCGAGGGCGGCCATCCGAAACGACTATGCCAGCACACCCTTTACGGAACGGGTCGTTTGCCACATTTTGGAAAGTGGCAATGAAATTGGAGACGTTGAGAAAGTGTTCGTGGATATCTACACGAACGAAGAGCAGTGGGACATGCTTTGGCGTGGCATGACTTCTTGAACCCTCGACACCATGTCTTTGCACCATGTTGTCACCATCTCCATCCTTCTCACATCAACATATAATATTAGGTTGATCCCCTCGTACTGAAGGACCACCTCCCAGAAATAAGTTCAAGTACCCTCGAAAACATCAAAACTGTGTCGAACGAGTATCGCCTTCCAGGACCCGACACGCGAAAACCCTCCAGCTTCGGTACTTTCTTGGTGTTCGAAGTTCTTTCTGATGGTCATAGCCAAATGAGGTGGGAACAACATAGACATAAGACCCCAAGGGTCACAATGTTCAGCACGATCGCTTTTTGTGCCCGAGGAGGTGGGTGTGGTAGAGATCTCTTCGATGGTGGTGGTGGGGGGGGATCTGCCCTGATCTTGCGGTTCCCAATCGCACTTTCAAGCACTGACCCTCGGTGATGGCATCCACGCCGCATGCATCGCCCAGGCCGCAACTTCAACCCGTGATGACCCGCACAAGCATCACCCAGGCAGGAGTCCCACGCAATGGACCCTCGATAAGGGTATCCAAAGAGGATGAAGGGGTGGAGAAATGGTAGCGGAGGCGGAAAAGTTACTACTAGCTTGACCCTCGGTGGGGGCAGCCTCCACTCAAGAGACCCTCGGTGAGGGCAGTCTTCCAGCGAATACCCTCGGTGAAAGCACCGACTCAGAAGTGTCGCACGTTCACTACCATTTTCGTCATTCGCATCATCAAAAGCAACATCATCATAAACAGCACCATCATCAACCATCATCCGTATCCTCCTCATCATCAGTAAACACTATCGCCATCGCAATCACCATCGACATGTCCACCACCCTCATCGTCATCGTCATCATCATCACCATCATCACAAGTATCATCAACACCATCACCATCGCCATCACCATCTACAACATCAGCATCCGAATCTGGATCCACATCATCAACATCATTACAACCATCATCTACATCATGGTATTCACCACTCCCTAAAACATCATAATCACCATCATCGACATCAGCATCCTCATCAACATCATAATCACCATCATCATCACCATCATCATCATCCGCATGATGAGCACCAGCATCATTCGCATCGTCACCATCACCATCGTTGGCGCCACCGTCGACCTCATCATCAAACAAATCAGCATCATCATCACCTACACTTATGTTGTCCCCATCGTACTTAAGGACCACATCACAGAAATACTTTCGAGCACCCAACAAATGTCGAAACAATGTCGAACGAATATCGCGCCCCCCCCCCCCCCAGGGCCCGACACGAGAAAACCCTCCAGTTTGGGTACTTTCTTGGTGCCCAAAATTCCTGCTGGTGAGAAAGGTTAAAGATGTTCAGAACACCATAAACCTACAGCATCATCATCACCATCACCAGCAGCAGCATCATCAGAATCATCATCCAACGCATCGCCATCATCATCGACATCGTCGTCATCACCAACATCACCACCATCACAATCATGGTACATCATCACCTGCATCATCAGCAACACCATCAACAACATCATGATAATCAACCGCATCATCGGCATCGTCATCACCAGCATCACCAGCATCGCCATCATCAACATCAACATCACTTACAGTATCACCATCACCAACAACATCGCCAGCACCGTCCTCATCATCATCATCATCATCATCATCATCATCATCATCATCATCCCCACTATCGTCTCCATCGCCATCGCCATTGTATCCATCATCATCCGCACCATCATCATCATCATCATCATCATCATCATCAGCAGCAGCATCAGCATCAGCATCATCATCATCATCATCATGATTACTACATTCAGCAACAACAGCACCAACAACAATGCTCTTCTTAAGTGGCACCAACTTTTGCCGGTTGGGAAAATACAAGGCGAGACGACCGCCGCGAGCAAGTCGACCGCCAGGCCCTCGGCGAGGGCGGCATGGACTGGAAAGTTGGGGGGGGGGGCGCGGTGGAGGTGGGGGGGCGCGGTGGAGGTGACGAAATATGATGGGGGGAGGATCGCCAACAAAACCCTCGATGAAAACAGACATCGGCCTCCCGCAACCGCACGTTTGCAGCCACCGCTGCATGAGCGGGGCGACCGCCACGAGCGAGCCGACCGCCACACGCTCGGTGAGGGAGGGCACTATGGTTGACGTATGGGGGGAGGCTGGGGGGCAGAGGATTGAGGTGATGGGGTGGTGTGGGAGAAGCGCCATCAAACCCCTCGATGAAGGCAGGCGTCGCAACTTCAACATCTGCATGTCAGCCGCCCTCGTCACACACATCTGAATATCTATATATATATATATATACATACATACATACATACATACATACATACATACATACATACATATATGTGTGTATGTATACCTGCACATACAAATCTATTCACACTGGAGCCACGCGCGTGCTTAGGTGCTAGTCGCGTCCAAGGAACTCGCTCGGCAAATTGCCAATGAGGAATGCATGGGGCGATTCGGGACTTCCTTCGGGTACGCAAAACCTGCGTCAATTCAAAATCGAAGTCCCGCCAACGCGTGGGCAAGCCGCAAAAAGCTCCTTCGACGCGCTTCGCGCTTCTCTGGGTCCGCTATGCAACGGGAAGAGGAGGATAAGGAGGAGAGGGAAGAAAAGAGGAAGAGTTGAACAAAGACGAAGACTGCCGCAGTCTGGCTCCGTGGCGCACGCCATCAAGGCCGAATCGCCGTTCAAGAGGTACGCACGTATCCCTCTGTCACCCCGTTTTCCTCCCGATCCTGCTCCCTGTCTTGCTCGTCACCCGCATCATCATCATATTGCTCGTCATCCGCATCATCATTCCGCATCATCCGTTTTTGGCTGCCATCATTCCGCGAAGTTCGTCGCAATCCGCCCCCTCATCTTCGCCCTCCTTATCCCATTTGTCCCTGTCGTCCCTGATCGCTTTTCAAATTTTTCCGTTGTCACGCAGCGCAAGATGTTCACGCGCGCAGGCACACAGGACGAGGAGGAAACAACACAGAGGAGCGAGAAAAGGGGGAGGGAGGGCGGGGCGATACACGAAGGACGAAAGTGGGAGGAAGGGGAGGGAGGGGGGGGGGCGTGGGAGAGAGGAGATAGAAGGGAGGGGGCGACAGGAAGGCGGAAGAGGCAGGGGAAACGCGACGGCAGTGATGCCGCTGGGCCGCCACTACGACCGCTAGCCATGACGTTTGGCGAGAAGGCGGGAAGAAGGAAAGAAAGCGGTTACAATAGTGGCTCCGGGATTCCGTTAAGAACGCCCCGAAAAGAGCTCAACAAGGCCTGAGGTCAACTGAAGCAAAAGACTTCCGCGCGTGACTTGATTGCGAACCCTCTTTGGTGCGTCTGGCCTGCCACCTGGGCGTTTCATAGCGGCCCCGAGGGTCCGGAGGTATCCCCAGACTTGGCCAAACACAATTCCCATCAGCCGAAACAGGATCCCGCATGAAGTTTTCCAGAAGCACGGAATGAAACATGATTCGACCAGTGGGGGGGGTCCCTCATGGTCCGGCGGGTTCCCACGGTGACCCGGGGGGGCCTCGACTTGCGAAGATATGCCAAAGGGCACCGTCAGGACACGTCCGGGGCGCTTCATGCAGCAGCGTTTCGACGACATGGAATGCCCTTGGGGGCAACATGCGACTGCGCGCGCGCGTCCAGCTTTACTTCGGCAGCGTTTTGGCTTATCTACGTGCGACCCGTCACGCGCAAAGGACGCGATGCACGTGAACAGAACAGGGCGTGCTTTTCCGAGGCAGAGAGCACCATCAGCATTGAGGGGCGCGAGCGGCGCCCAGAATTCTGCCATGGGCACGCTCCACTGTCCAACTTCGCAGCAGAACGGAAGCCTTAAAAAGTATCAGTAACTCCCACCACGCGTATAGATCAAGGTGTAAGCCACGTGCGAAGGACGTGGCACTGCGCGACGCGTGAAAATTCATCCACTCCAGCGTGCAATCCCGTGCCTACCAGAGAGAGCAGACCCCTGCGCGTCGGTGCAGCGTGCACGCAGAAGCGAGCGCATCTGTTCTCATTAGGAAGCATATTCTCATTCAGCCACCACTATCGTTGGCGTTGTCACGTTCTCCACGATACCCGCGCGTGAGTGCGAGGCGACGCTCAATGAACAGCGACATCTTGATGTTCCAGAACTCCGACGAAGGAACACACTGCCACTGTCGATGAACGGGTCGGGATGCTTCGAAAGCGAAGATCGCCAGAATTTGCGTCGCGTCAACCTGCCCTGCGTAGCGTGGAGAAAGATGCAACGAATCGCGCAGCAGGGCTGTCGCAGCGGCCGCTTGGAATCCGTAGACGCAAGGGTACACTACCAAAGCCGTACAATGGCCTCCAACAGAAGGTGTGGGAATCTGAAGAGCGGCTGTCGTAAACGGTCCTTCTGCTATGGGGTGCGGAGCGAAGGGGTGGCCCAGGCGTCCTTGAATCTCCTCAGCCGCTAATAGAAAGAAAGCGACGTTTTGGCGCGTGAAGTTAGGGCATCCCCAAGGCGAGCTGTGGGAGCTACGCATTCGAAGTCAGCTTAAGAAACGGTGGGACGCACAAACGATCGATTATTGCTCACAGGAACCATGCAATGGTCGTAGGCATGCAGGCCACATGTTGCACCTACTTGGACCCCTTCGGAGCAACAGCGCTGGAAACACCATTAAACCAAGGAACTGCGGATTGGGCCGACGGCAGGTGTCGGGGAAAGGCATGATTGCATGACTTGGACTGTCCCTGTGCGTGCATTTTGGCCTCTGACGATGCGCCGTGCAAATCTCGTCGACTCGTGGGCTGGTCAGGTTCGCAGTCTTCGGCGTCGACATGACAGGCTGCTACATCGAATACGTTTTGCGTCGCCGCAGCAAGATCCGCCCTGGAGTCCAGGTCAGAGCAAGGTCCGGAGGCTCGACCCCGAAGGAGGAGGGCCCAGACCTGCAGGCACCGCGAACGACAATATCTGAGGGCATGGGGATGGCCCACGAAGGCTCCAAGACTGCCCCAAGGCCGACGGAACAACGTCGAGCTTAAGACCCATCATGCGAGTTTGGCCTGCGCGCGGAATTGGCGCGTGTGTGAAGCCTCCTTCGCGCTGAGTTCCTGCGCTGGCAGTGTACCGGGGTTTGCCACAGGCAGCCGGAGACACTCGGGGCCCCCTCCCCGCGCCAAAGGACTGCCGATGGGCCAAACGACCTCGCTGGCCCAGCGGGCCGGAGGCGTGCTGAAGTCTCTGGGAATGATTCTAGTTCTCGTGCGCGTGGCGGCCCCTGGGTGCCACCCGACGAAAAGCTACCCTGGCGGCTTCCCAGCAGGGTCGGGCCACGGATGCCGCAACTCCCGGGCGCGGCCCTGAGGCCACCAGAGCGCCCCAGGAGCGCCCCAAGGAAGCGCCAAATAAGTGGAAGGCCCCACGGCCTCCAACCAAGAGCGTTCCAAGATGGCCAAAGGTGGTCTGAAGACGGCTCAAGAGGCGCACAAGACACTCAAAGAGGGCTCCAGGACGACCCCGAGAGGGCCCGAAGAAGCAGCAACAACATCCTCCCATCCTAAGTGCGGCTTTTGTTTTCTCACGACACCCCCGCGCAGAAACAGTAGCACCTCCACAACATCATCTTATCATCATCGTCATCATCATCATCATCATCCTCATCATCATCAGCATCATCATTCGCATCATCATCATCATCAGCATCATCATCAGCTTCATCATCATCAGCACAATCATTACCATACCATCATCACCAATCCTCATCATCATCACCACCATCACCATCCTCCTCATCCTCCTCTTCGTCGTCGTCGTCTTTCTCCTCATCATCATTACCATCATCGCACACACTCACACACTCACTCACTCACTCATGTTTGCGTCAACGGAACACGAATCGTCGTCATCATCACAATCGGCTTCACCGTCATCGTCTGTACGACTATTAGCATCATACCCATCGCCATCATCATCATCATCATCATCATCATCAGCATCATCAGCATCATCATCATCATCATTATTATTATTATCATCATTACCACCATCCTCACAATCACAATATCACCATGACCATCACCCCCTCATCATTACGATCATCACGCTCGCATCATCATCAGCATCATCATCAGCATCAAAATCATCACCAGCATCATTCCCAGAGTCGGCAGAACCATCGTATCACCATCACCATCACAATAATAAGCATCATCTGCATCTTCAGCATCATCAGCATCACATTCATCATCATCATATGATATTATTCAGCATCATCATCAGCATCATCAGCATCATCAACATCATCATAATAATCTTCATTATCAGCAGCCCCAACGGGCCAGAGGCGTGCTAAGATCTCCGGTAACTGGTTAACAATTGTATTGTACTAGTTCGCGCGCGCGGGGCGGCCCCTGGGGGTCCCCCGGCGAAAAGTACCCCGCCCGCCGCCTGGCAAGGTCCCGCCCGGTTCAACTCAGAGATGGTTTTCCTTCTGGGTGCGGCCTCTCAGGCCGCCCTGAGCGCGCCAAGAGTGCCCCAAGAGGCCCCCAAGACTGCCCAAGAGGCCCCCGAGACGCCCAAAGAGCGCTCGAAGACGCCGAAGATGACCCCAAGACGGCCCAAAAGGCCCCCAAGACAGCCCAAGAGGCCTCCAAGACGCCCCAAGAGCCTTCCAAGAGGCCTCCGAAGAGAGCCCCAAGAGGCCAAAATCGTTGATTTTCATTGGTTTTTTCGATGTTTTTTGTGTTCTGGCTTTTTCGGCTTCCGGACGCTCCAAGACGGCCCAAGAGGCCCCCAAGACCGCTCCAAGACGGCCCACGAGGCTCCCAAGACGGCCCCGGAACGGCCCAGGAGGGCCCCCAAGACGGCCCAAGTGCCGCCCAAGACGGACCAAGAGGCCCCAAGACGGGCCCAAGAGGGGCTCAAGAGGGGAACCGAGAACTGAAAAATCGAGCCCTCCGCCCCAGAAGGCGCCCAGGAGGCCCCAAAAAGGCCCCAAGAGGCCCCCAAGAGGCCCCAAGACGCCCCAAGAGGCGCCCAAGAGGCCCAAAAGAGGCCCCAAGAGGCCCCAAAACGGCCCCCAAAACTCGGCTAGCCCACAACGGTGCGACAATATGGGCCGGCGGAATGAGCGAAGCGATTAAATAATCTTCATTATCAGCAGCATCATCATGGAGTCGGCAGACCTATCGCATCACCATCACCATCATCATCACAATAATAATCATCATCTGCATCTTTAACATCATCCGCATCATATTCATATCATCATCATCATCAGCACCATCATAATCATCATCATCATCATCATCATCATAATCATCATCATCATCATCATCATCATCATCATCATCATCATCATCATCATCATCATCTTCATATGATAATATTCAGCATCATAATCAGCATCATCATCACCAGCATCATCATATTCATCTTCATCATCAGCAACATCATCATGATGAGCATAATCAGCATCATCGTCATTATCATTATTGTTATCAGTATCATCTTTGCCATCGCACTCACGCGCACATGAACTCATCTAAACGACCTAGCAGGCGGGAGCCTCGTCTGTGTGAACTGCGAGGAAGCCCAAGACCACCTCAAAGACGGCCCCAAGACGGCCCAAGAGGGGCCCATAAACAGCCCAGCGGCGTCCCCAAAGGGCTCCCTCCAGAGGCTCCCATGAGGACCACAACAGGAACCCGAACATCTGTAACGAGACCCCGCAAAAATTGCCCCCCGAGATCGCCAGCAGGCCCCCAAGAAGCCGTTAAGAGGCCCTCCGGAAGCCCGAAGGGATGCCCCACGGGGCCCCCAAGAGGCCCCAGGAAGTCCAAAGAAGGCCGCCACGAGGCCCCGAGAGGCCTCTCAAGGAGGCCCTGAGAAGCCTTGCAAAGGGGCATCTCTCCTCCTCCGCCTCCTCCTCCTCCTCCTTCTCCTCCTTCTCCTCCCCATCGAGTCTCATATCCTCCTTCTCGCCCGCCATGTGCACACCATCTTCTGGCACAATGGTGCAATGTGGGCCAGCGGATTTAGCGAGTCCATTGAATAAAGCCCAGCTCAGGCACATAGTACGGGGGTGGCGTGCTCTTCCGATAATTATGGGGGCCGTCAGGATAACCCCCTGGGCGTGCATCCCCGAGTTGCTCCTCTTACGCACACCGCGTGCAGCCAACGTCGCCCGCGACTGCACGCCACCCCGCGCGGGCAGCCCGCCGCCGAGGTTCCGTGCCGTCTGCTCGTCGTCGTCGTCGTCGTCGTCGTCGTTGTCGTCGTTATCGTCGTCGTCGTCGTCGTCGTCGTCGTCGTCGTCGTCGTCGTTATCGTCGGCATCGTCGTCGTCGTCGTCGGCGTCGGCGTCGTCGTCGTCTGCATCGCTCTGGCAGCGGCGGCCGCAGCACTTCCGGCCGCGTGCGCAAGGGCGGCCTCCAGGCTCAGCAGCGACAGGGAGCACGCGCTCGGGTCGATGCGCAGCACCTGTGCCGGCGGCTCGCGGGGGCGCGCCCCCGGGGGCCGAAGCGGGGCGCGCCCCGCGCGAGCCGGCCCGTGCCCCTGTCCGCCGCTGCCCCTGCGCCCCCGCCGCCGCTTCCCCGCTTGCAGTCGAGGCTGATCGGAGAGGACACCTGTTCTGACATCCACGCGCGAAGCCCAGTGGCGGAGGCAGGGGGGAGAGAGGAGGCAGGGGAGGAGGAGGAAGCGGGCCACGTGCGCCGACGCGCCAAGCGGCCAGCGGGCCGCGCGCAGCGAGGGCGCGCGCTGCCCAGCACCTAAGTCGTCAGGTGCGCCGGGGCGCTCTGCCAGGCGCGCCTGCAAGGCCGCGCGCCACTCCGCGTCGGGCCCCCCCGCCCGCACCGCTTGGAGCAGCAGCAGTCCAGCCGCCTTCGGCGAGACACGCGAGAGGACACCAGACCCTTCCGGGGGCCACATCGTCATAGGAGTGTAGGAGGCATGGGTCGCCAAACGCAGGACGCAAGAGCACCCTTGAATTGGCAGGGTCGACCTGCCAATCCATGTCTCGACCGTAGCTGTCCCGTGGGATACCCCGCTGATATCGACGTGTCATAGGTAGGCCGCTCGACAAAAAGAGAGTTCGTCAATCATGCAAACAATGGGAGCATGTACTGATAACTATGTCGGCGTGCCGTTTTCTGCGCGAAGCGCAATTCGGAGAGCGTGTCGACATACACATGTCGGCCAGACACTTGTGTACATGTGTATCAAAAACGGCATTGGTATGACAAATATTGTAGACTCACCCTTAAAGCGCAATATAACGGATATAGTAACCTCAATAGCAGCGTAAAGTGCACCTAAAATTCAACGATCCTACGATTTCTCTTGCTGTTTTTGAAAAAGGCGTGTGAGCCGTTTGGCTGCCCTCCCTCCCCTTTCAACCTCCGCTAAGGATCACAATCCTGTTCGAAGGGGGGGCGCCGGTGCGTGGGGAAATGATTACCCCCACCTTGCCAAGCGGGTATTCAGTCGCCCACCGCGGATAGGTTCGTTTTCCACTGCGGTAAGGAAGCCGCTCCATCAGCATTACTGCCGACGTTTGGCAATGCGAAATCGCTTCATTCAAGAATCAATGCATTGGCGCGCGCGTTGCAGCTGCAACCAGCTAACAGACAAGCGGGGCCGAAGGAATCGTCCGCCTAAACTCTGGACGGTCACCGCACAGACCAAGAACGGATACGGTAGGCTCGAGCGGCGTCGGCACGCGCAAAGGATCTCGACACCGCGTCGATCTTTCAACCTTGAGTCGATCGCGGCCCCAATCGTTCAAGCTTAAATTCCGCCAGATCCAATGGCGTCACCGTGACGCTCGGTACTTCCGCGTCGCGAAACTCAACCTTGAACGCCTTCGCCAGCGTCGCCGTCGCGCCATCGCCGCATGAACCTACGGGAACATGAGCCCGCAGGCCAATCCAACGGGGAGTCTATCAGCCCGCGCAGCAACCTTCCAGGGGAGAGCTGCCAAGGTAGGGATCTCCCATATTGCCTAAAGCTACCACCGAGCGGACCGCCACCCCAACGGTTTGGGGAGAACTTGTCGGTCCCAAGGGAGCTGAAAAAGTTTCCCAAAAAACAAGAAATTTGTGGATGCCGCGACAATGGACACCCTAACAGTCCTATCATCGAATAAAAGATGTGTGTAAGATGTAGGAAAAATGTCCTAACCATGTTTCAAACATGTTTTCAACGTTGAAACCTGTTTGAAACATCTTTTTGGCAACTTGCTTCCTCTCCAGTGATCGTCCTCCACAACCAGAAAGTCCCTGGCCCCCACGGGCCTGGCGAGCTTGGCGAGTTGCTCCCTCCCCCAACCAGGCGCGCCAGCGTTTCAGCCAAGGGCGCACGCGCGCCTTCAAAAACCTGGTGCACAGTCAGTCAAGCCTGGCGCAGAAACGGCGCATTGGCAAGCATTAAACAATTATGAATGCGACCGGAAACGCCAACAAAGCCCCGGACTCGGGCAGTTATGGCGATACGGATTCCCTCCACCAAACGTATCGGCGCCACGCGGGAGCAGGGGGGGGGAAGGGAGGGAAGGGGGCGGAGGACGGCGAGAAGGGGAGGAGGGAAAGGAACAGCTAAAGCCAATGATCGTCACATTGGTTGCGAACGCATACAGACCATTGTTGCTTAGGCCTCCCTCGCCTCCGGCGGATATCCCAGCGCCGTGGCTCGTTGGAGAGCGGATCGCAAGTGAGCATTCGTAAAAAGATATCTTCTGGGAGGGCCGCAATGTTACAATACAGTGCCGTTTGCCTCTCACTCAGTGTGGCGCTCAGTGCCGCCTCGCCACCCACTTCGTTCCAATACTGTTCTGTTCGAGACTCGAGATAAAAATTCCTGGACAAGAATCGGGATAGATGTTTCGTTGCGGAGCCGGGCGGGGCGCGATCCCCCGACGAGCGAGCTCGTCAGAAGGGCCTGGAGAGGACCCCCAAGAGGGTCCCAGTTGGCACAATTCACGGGCTCCTTGAAGAGCCGCATTTTCACCTTGTCGGGCTGCTGAATTCAAGACGGCCCGACAAGGCCCCCCAGACTGGCCGGAAAGGCTCCCAAGAGGGCACCAATACGGCCCAAGAGGGCCCGAAGACTGCCCAAGAGGCCCCCAGGGCGACCAAAAAGGTCTTCACTAGGGCCCAAAGAAGGACCAAGAGAGGCCCAAGGGAACTCCAAAATGGCCCTCAAGACCCCTGACATGACCCCAAGAAGCTCCCAGAGGACCCTAAGCAAATTTTGACAAGGCTCCCACGATGTCGCCTCCAAAGGCTCTTCAAGGGGCCCCCAAGAAGCCCTGCTGTAGAAGCGGAGAAAGAAGACGAATTAGCAGAAGCTACATGCAGGCAGCACGACAAGAAGCGACAAGCAACGTACACGGTCGGAAGCCGCACATGTCCTCTTCTTGGGGTCGGTGGAATGGCGTGAGCCTCTCGAGTATATGAAGCCCTAGAACTACGAGCGTAGGCAGAACTCACCGCAGCAAAACACCCGAGCACATCAAAACTCGCCTGATCAGAATCACGTGCCGTTGCATGGCGAGCACAGCTCGCAACACCTCATCACAAACAGAGCTCACCACAGCCCGCCACGGCTCCCTGCACCTCGCTGCTTCACCATCACAAGGCAACCCTGGGAATCTGCGCAGGTCACACGTGGGGGCCAACATCCATCTTGCGCGATGCACGCGCGCGAGCCAGAGCGATGCCCCGCGATGTTGCCCAGACTTTCCAGCGGAGCGCCTCGTGACGCCGCAAAACGGGCCAATCCACAAGGGCCAGGCGTTGTCAGTGCTCAAGCGGTGCCTGCGCACATGCAGCGCCGAGGTTTGCGCAAGCTCCTCATAAACCCCTCTCCCTCCTCCTCATGATCATCACCATCATCATCGTTATTGTCCATCCTCTTCCTTCCTGCTCCTGCTGTTCCTCCTCCTCCTCCTCCTCACCCGCTACATACATTCCCTGTTTCTCCCTCCCATCTTCTTATTATCCAAGTTCTTCTCTTCCCCCGCATCCCCCCTCCTTGACATCATCCCGCATCCCCCTCTATCAATCGTGTGGTGCGATATTAGTCATCCTACCCACTCATGGTGGCGGAGGCGGGCGAAATATCCAGGATGACAACAGGAGGCCAACTCATCCAAAAGCAGAACCCCGGACGATGCCCACGAGAAACCGCGCGTGCAGCGTCGGCAGGAACACTGCAGGCCCGCAGGAAACAAAGGCTTGCCCTGCGGCCGAGGATGCAAGAACAGGAGGAGGAGGGGAGCGAGCCAAATGAGGGAAGCGTGAAGAGGATGGGGGGGAGGAAGCAGAGAACGAACACATGGCACAGACCAGGCATGCCCGCATGAATGCCGCCCAGATCCGAGTCGAGGGCACTGGCCGATGCTCCTGCGTCTGGGTCTGAAGGGGTCTCGGAACAAGCCTGAAATTACCAGCCTGGAGCATATCCCTATCCCTATGCTGGGCAGCTCCTCGTCACGATGCCAATCTCAGGGATTCCCTCATCGTTTGAGGGCGCATCCTTGAGATTGTCAGCGCCTTTTGGCGTGCCAATCTTAGGGATAGGGATAAGTTCGAGGCCGGTAATGAAACTCGCCATTGCTCGGACCTCCATTCCCCGTGCATGCGTCACTGTGGTCCTCGAGGGTCCCTGGCGGGAAAGAGACGAGCACGCCCGAGCGATGCCATCGAAGGCACTCACGTGGCAAGGGGCCAGGGCAGGGACCGAGGACGAGGGGCAGGAGAACCTGGCGCATATGCGAACAAGTCGCAAAACCACGCAGGCATGGATGATGAGCAGCGGCGGCAGCAGGATATTCATCTGTCCGTGGAGCAGCTTCCTTGCGCTAGGGGCGCGAGAGAGGGGGGGGGGGGGCGGCACCTGCGTGTGGTTCCAGGGCATGCAGTAGATGTTGCCATCCTAGCGGCTGCTCGCCCCCCCTCCGTCTCCTCCTCTTCCTGGTCGCTGTTCCTCCCTCCGTTGCGCCGCCCCCTCCTCTCGTCCCATACCGTCCCTGCTCCGTCTCCTCTTTCTCCTCCTCCACCTCCGATGTCTCCACCCCCCTCATTCCGCACAATTCCTCACATCTATGCTCCTCCTCCTCCTCCTCCTCCTCCTCCTCCTCCTCCTCAATCTGCACCTCCATCCTCCTCCTCTGCAGCCGCATTCTCCCCTGGACCGTCCACTCTCGATGGAACGCTGGTGATCACTACGTGCATGCCGCGGACGCCCCTGGAAGTTAACGGCATCCAGCACGGGTTGCCGCACCTGCTTGCTTGTGCACATGTATTGTCATTGCTCGGGCGTTCTTTCCACGTGCATGTTTTGATGTCGTGCGTGTTTACTTTCGCTGGATGACACCAAGATCCTCCTCGATGGTCCTCGGCAGAGAAACCAAAACACACGTCCGAACGATCCCAAGCTTTGGGGAGCTCTCCAGCGCCTCCAGCAAGTCCTCGTGCGGACCACGCTCGCGTTGCTTGCCAGCGCTGCTTAGCCTTAGGTCGGGCATGTTCTCCCACAGGCGGATTTTGAAAAAGAAATGAACATATTCAAACCATACTCAAGAATGATCAGAAATATGATACATCGTAGCCTGACTTGCTTTGTGACTATTTTTCCCTACCTAGGCTCTGCCTAGAAGGGTTCTTACTCGGTTTGTTTAAAAGGGCGGGCAATGGGGCCCACCCCGGACGGTTCCCCCGGCATCCGCCCCGCGGTTCCCCCAGTTGCGCCCCCTGGGTTCACCCAGCTTAGCTTAGTTTAGCTAAGCTTAGCTTATCTTAGCTTAGCTGAGCGTATCTCATCTTAGCTGAACTTAGCTTAGCGTAGCTTAGCTCTGCTTTGCCTAGCCTGGCTTAGCTTAGCCTCGCTTAGCTTATATCCTCTTAGATTAGCTTAGCTTAGCTTGGCTTGGCTTAGCTTAGCTTAGTCTAGCCTAGCTTAGCTTAGCTTAGCTTAGCTTAGCATAGCTTAGCTTAGCTTAGCGCAGCATAGCGCAGCGCAGCACTAGCACACCACATCATAGCATAGCATAGTCAAGCATAGCATAGCATATCATAGCATAGCATAACTCAGCATATCATATCATAGCATAGCGCAACATATCATAGCATACCATACCATTGCTTAGCATAGCACAGCGCAGCATAGCGCAGCATAGCATAGCATACCCTAGCCTAGCCCAGCCCAGCATAGCATTGCGCAGCATATCATAGCATAGCATAGCATAGTATAGCATAGCAGAGCATAGCATAACGCATCACAGCATCCACTATTGCTGCTGCTAATGTTGCTTTCCTAGAGGCTCCAACTCCTAGGTAGGGTCGCACTGGGATGATTGAATTTCCCTCCTGTTGAGGGAGACGCCCGACTTAAGCCTAGCCCTCCCCCCTGCCCTCTTCCCTCCCGTTCACTTTCTGGCCTCTCTGCTCCCCCGCTCCCCCCCCCCCGCGCTCCCCTCCCTGCCCTCCCCTCCCTGCCCTCCCCTCCCCCCCGCCCTCCCCTCCCCCCCTGCCCTCCTCCGCTCCTCCCCCGCCCTCCCCTCCGCTCCAGTCCCTTCCCTCCCCTCTCCTCCACTCCGCTCCACCCCCTGGACACTCCAATCTCTCGACCCTCCTGATGTCTCGCACGATTGCTGTTGTTAGTCTGGCTGCGCGTCTCTCTCTCTCTCTCTCTCTCGCTCTCTTTCTGTGTATAGACACGTGGCACGTCTGCGTTAAACGCAGTCTTGTTGGATTGCTAGTACGACTCCAAATTTGTGATTGCCTGACGCGAGTCGTCCGCCAGCCCGGGAATCGCAGGCAGCTCTCTCACGCGGGCCCGCTTCTCCTGAAGCCCTCCGGGCGACCCCAGGCCTTGACACAACACATCGTCTGTCAGGTATGGGCGTGCACTAGAGAATAAGAATATAAACATTCATGAGTGCGAACACACACCGCCGCCACCACCAGAACTCCATCGACCTCCGCTGCCAAAAGCCCCTCCTCCCTCGAGCTGGTGGCACTCCGTCCTGGGCACCCTCCAGGGTCGCGCCCGGAACGGCGTGCCGCCAGCTCGAGGGGCGGGGCGGCCAGCCCCCCGGGCTGGTGGTGGTGGTTCTTCTCTGGTGAAACATTCCCGCGAGCTCTTTCCATATGTCGAGGAGCCCAAGAGCACACACACACATGAGCAGACACAGATCCCAGGGCTCCCTCTTATTTGCCCATCCTTTCGGGACTCTTTCGTCCTTCCCCCCACTTCCCACATGTTCCTTTCTCTTCTGGGAGTCGACGATTAGTTGTCCCTGTGTGCTTCGCCCTCCTGAAGATGACATGTCTCGCAAGCGTGGAAGTTGCTGGCTATTCCCCCCCCCCTGTATTAGGGCGGGCGTGTCATCCCGCAGGCGGATTTGGGTAGAAACATGCAAACATAGACCAACAAATAAATACCCTTCAATTGTCAACCAATGCTATAGGAAAAAACGTCCCGAGACTACTCCGAGTTTCTTGATAAGCGTCGGGAGGGCGTCACCCCCGCCGACAGCCTCACATCGACCCCCGTCGCGGGCAGCCACCGCGCGCTGAAGGCGCTCCAACCCCCGTCGCGGCGCGACGACGAGGCGAGGTTGACCCCCGTCGGGGAGATGCCCCCCCCGACGCTTCTTGAGAACCTCGGAGTGTCGTTTGACTATTGGTTTGAGCACTCCTCCTGGAAAAGGACGCGCCCGCCTTGACCCCTACAGCGCCCGCCACGGCACGGGGCAGGGGCCGGGCCCCCTGTGGGCCGCGCGCCCGCGGGGGGCGCCCAGGGCGTCCTGCAGGGCACGGCGCCGCGGCAGAGGAGGGCCGCGACGCGATCGGAGCCCCGCGGCACACCCTGCCAGGGTGGGGTCGGGCGTGTCCCCCTACAGCGACGAGCGCGCTCAACTACTCGCAAAGTAGCTGCTCGCAAATGGCCTGGATCCCCCCGCGGGGGATCTATGAGAAATTACAGCGAAGCAGACAGGTGTTTTTCGGACGTCTGCGAATAAGCACTTTGCGAGTAGTGGAACGCGCTCGGCGACTACAGGCATGCGGAGGACAAATAAAAAATGTGCAAAAAGTATTTCAAATAGTCAAAAATACTCAAACAGTTCCCATGCACTTGTTTGACTATGTTTGAATATTTCTCCTGTAGAGGAACGTGCCCGACTTAATGCTAGGGGAACAAACAATTACAGAAGCATACCAACTCGAAGGTCCGAGCGGATTTCTTGGATCGGCGCTGGAGCCCCCATCCCTGGCGCGCGGAGCGCGCCAAGGCGCCGCCAGTGTGGTCCAACGCCGATCCGAGACATCCGCGCGGACCTCCGAGTTGTTATGCTTATGTCATTGGTCGTTCCCCTACCTGCGCGCAGGAAATCTACAACCATCGTGTCACTCGCCATCGCTCGGGCGTCCATTCCCCGTGCGTTGCTCGGTGTCGCGCGCGTGCTTTTCCGTCGCAAGGTGGTCCAAGATGCTCCCTCGGTGGTCCTCGCCGAGGAGGCGTGCGCACGCCCGAGCGATGCCGAGGCTGCCATGGGGGAGCGCAGAAGAGGGAGCGAAGGGGCTTCCCTGGCCACGGCGAGCCTGAGCCCCCCGGCAGGATCCACGAAACAGCATCTGGGGATCGGCCCGAAGCTCCCGAGGCCCCCTCCCGAGCCCCGTCCGGTCCTCACACCTCGGCGTCCTGACTGCAGCAATGAAGGCCACCCTCCTCCTCCTCCTCCTCCTCCTCCTCCTCCTCCTCCTCCTCCTCCTCCTCCTCCTCCCCCTCCTCCTCCCCCTCCTCGCCCTCCTCCTCCCCCTCCTCCTCCTCCTCCTCCTCCTCCTCCTCCTCCTCCTCCTCCTCCTCCTCCAGCGTCCGACGCCGTGCGCTCCCGCTCCCTCGCTGGGCCCCCATGCCTCCCCTCTCCCCCAGCCCTCGTCCCCCCCCCCCCCACACGCCTCCCCTCTTCCCCAGCCTCGTCCCCTCTCCCCCAGCCTCGTCGCGCGTTCCCGCTCCCTCGTCTGGCCCCCCACGCCTCCCATCTCCCCCAGCCTCGTCCCCCCCCCATCCCCCCCTCTTCGGTGGCTCAAGGATGGGGTCCCGAGGGATGGGGCCCTCGACGACGAGGCAGGGCCCCCTCTTTTCGGTGGCTGCGGGGGGCATGGGTTGCAAAGGGTGCGGTTTACAACCCGCACCCTGGTGGGTGGGCGAGGACCTCGACAGAATTCTCCGCCGCGCCCCGAGGAGGCCCGAGGAGGGCACCGTGGTGCCCACAAAGCCAAGCGGGTGCAATTCCCGAACCACGTTAGAAAAAAGCTTCCCGCCGAAAATTCGAATCGCATCCTTTCCTATTGTGGGACTTGGGAGGGGGGGGCCCAATTGTTATAATCAGAAGCTCACACTAACCATACGGTAGGATCGTGCTGCGTCGGCGCGCGCAACAATTTTTGAAACCGCGCCGATCGTTCCACCTTGAATGGATCGCGGCCCCGATGACTCAAACTTGATGTCGGTCGGATCCAGTGGCGTTCCCGCGTCCGTCGGCGCTCCCGCGGCCCAGAATTCATTCAACCCTGAACGCCTTCGCTGGCGTCGACGGCGCGCCAGTGCCGCGCGAAGCCCTACCGTACCCCTCTGCAGTCGCCGATCGCTGAGCCGCCGATCCTTGGCGGCACGCACACGGGGGTGGAGGGAGGGGGGAGGGCTTCTCAGAAGCAGGCTGCTTCTCAGAAGGCGCCGCCTGACATCTAATCGATAAGGCCCGCGCCTCCTGAGAAGCAGGGGGTGCTTCTGAGAAGCCCCCCACCTCTGCGCGCGGCTGAGATCCCTCGCCACGGGGAGGGCGGGGGCGGCGCGCGGGGCCGGCGAAGGAGGAGGAGGAGGAGAAGGAGGAGGAGGAGGAGGAGGAGCAGGAGGAGGAGCAGGAGGAGGGAGGGAGGAGGAGGAGGAGGAGGAGAGAGAGGAGGAGGAGGAGGGGAGAGGGGGGGGGGGGAGGGGGGGGGGTCCTCCGCGAGCACGCCCCCGGCCCACTTGTGCGGGCCCGCGCCGACCTCCGGGGGCCCCGCGGGCCGCGGGCCGCCCCGCTCGACATCGGGGGGGGGGCCTGCAGCGGCACCCACCTCCACAAAGAGCCTGTTTTTGTTTTGGACTCAGGCAAGTTTACTTGCATGGCGTTCGCCCCCCCCCCCCCCCCCCTCGTCCCTCTTCAAGCGAATACCAGCGTGCAAGTGCCTTTCGACTTGCGTGATTTCCGCGCCCCCCCCCCCCGGGCTTGCTTCAGGCTCACCCCCCCCGTCCATGCAAGTAAACTTGCCGGAGTCTAAAAAAAACAGGCTCAAAGAACAAAGAGCACGGCTCAAAGAGGGCACAAGATCAGGGCATACTGTACGACCACACTTCGAGTGTGAATGAGGCTAGGGGGGGAAAGGACCAACTGATGACAGCTACGATGGATGACTGTGATTGTGACGATGCTGGGGATGCGCTCACGAACTGTTGGCGACGATGCACGATGACGATGCTGGTCGCCAAAAGAATACCACAAAAACACCAGCCAAACACTAACGGGACACCAATCGGAACACCATACGGGACGCCACCGGGACACCATCCAAACACCACGGGGACACCATCAGGACACCATCGGGACACCAATCGGAAAATCCGCCGACCCCTTGTGGGTCTCTAGGCGTGTGAGATAGTTCCCCCCCCTATAGTCCCCCCCCAGGGACCCCAAACCGGCGATTTGACCCCCCCCCCCCGGGCCCGGGACGAGCGCCTCAGGCCCGGGACGAGCGCCCCCCCCGGGCCCGGGACGAGCGCCGCCGGGCCCGGGACGAGCGCCGCCGGGGCTTTGCCGGGTTCCAGGAAGCCTCAAGACGGGCCAAGATGGCCCCAAGAGGCGTTCAAAACGGCCCACGGGAGCTCCGAGACGCCAAACGAGCGCTCCAAGACGCCCAAGATGGCTCCAAGACGGGCTAAGAAGCCTCCAAGACGGCCCAAGAGGTCCCCAAGAAACCCCAAGACGCCTCCAAGATGCGTCCCACGAGGGTCCCTAGACGCAAAAATTGGCCCATTCCCCACGTAAAACGTACATTTTTCACGAATTCGCTTTTTTGGTTTTTCCGACGCTCCCAGACGGCCCCAGACGGCCCAAGAGGCCCTAAATACCGCCCCAAGACGGTCCAAGCAGCCTCCAGGGAAGCTCCAAGGCAGCCCAACAGAGCCCCAAGACAGCCCAAGAGGCGCCCAAGATTGCCCAAGAGGGCCCCGAAGACGGCCCCAAGAGCGCTCCAGGAGCGCTTCAAGTTGCCTCCAAGAAAGCTCAATATGGTCACAGACGGTCGAAGAGCGATCAAAGACACCGACGATCGCCTCCAGACGGCCCAGGACGGCCCCAAGAGGCCCCAAGAGGCCTCCAAGATGCGTCCCAGGAGGGCCCCTCGGCGCAAAAATTGGCCCGTTCCCTTCGTGAAACGTACTTTTTTCCACAAATTTGCCTTTTCAGCTTTCCGACGCTCCCAGATGGCCCTGGAGGCCTCCAATACAGCCCCAAGGTAGCCCAGAGGCGTTCGAGCCGGGGTCATCCGAGCTCCGGTGGATCCCGGCTCGAACGCCGCCGGGGGGAGCAAAGGGCCCGAAAACGAACCAAGAGCGCACCAGAGCCCCCCCCCCCCGGGCCCGGGACGAGCGCCGCCGGGCCCGGGACGAGCGCCGCCGGGGCTTTGCCGGGTTCCGGGAAGCCTCAAGACGGGCCAAGATGGCCCCAAGAGGCGTTCAAGACGGCCCACGGGAGCTCCGAGACGCCATGCCTCTCAATCTTTTCTTCTGGCACTTGCCACTGCGCTGTAACGCCTGGCAGCTACGAGCAGTGAAGGCGGAAACGCGGCGATAGCCGCCGGTACGAATCAAGGGGTCGGCGGATGTGGCGTGAGCCTGGAGAATCAATCGGGACACGACCGAGACACCGTCGAGACACCATCGACACACCACCAGAACACCATCGGGACACCAATCGGGACACCGCAGGACACCACAGGACACCACGGGACACCATCGGGACACCACGGTGAGACACCCGGCGGCCACCGCCCGCCACGCAGCCGGGGGGGAGAGGACTTCTGCCTTCGACGCGCCCTAGCCAGAGGAGTGTTCAGTCCTCTCGCTCGCCCACGCAGATTCGCCCCGCCCGCACGCGCGACGCGAACCCGAAACCGAAACGGATTTCCCGGTGGGGGGCCCTCCGTTCCGCTTCGAGATCACTCCCCAACCTCTGACTATGACGCGCTCCCTGATCCTTCCTCCTCACGCACATGCATGCAACCCACTGCATCTCCATCCCCCGTCTCTGGCAGCCTGGGCCCCCGGCTGGGCAGGCCAACTCCCACAATCCCAACAGGTACCCGGTCCTGTAGTCACCTCCTCCTCCTCCTCCTCCTTCTCCTCCTCCGCCGCCGCCGCTTCCGCCTCAGCCTCCGCCTCCTCCTCCTCCTCCTCCTTCTCCTCCTCCTTCTCCTCCTCCCCCTTCGTCCCCCCCTGTTCTCTTCCTCCTCGGCATATTCCTATTTCTCCTCCACATCCTCCTCCTCCTCCTCCTCCTCCTCCTCCTCCATCTCCTTTTTCTCCTCTGTCCTCCGTCCTACTCATCATCCGACTGTTTTTCCTACTTCTCGCCTCCTTGCTCCTCATCCACCTCCTCCTTCCTCCTCCTCCTCTTCCGTGTTCCTCCTCCTCCACCCTCCTCCTCCTCCTCCTCCTCCTCCTCCGCCTCCTCCTCCTCCTCCTCCTCCTCCTCCTCCTCCCGCCTCCTCCTCCTCCTCCTCCTCCTCCTCCTCCTCCTCCTCCTCCTCCTCCTCCTCCTCTTCCTCCTCCTCCTCCTCCTCCTCCTCCTCCTCCTCCTCCTCCTTCTCATGCTCGGATTCGGTATCCTCTCGTGCGCGCCGTGTCCCTCCCCCCTCAACCATCGCCACCCCCGCCACTGGGGACACCAACGGGTACCTAGCCGCTGATCCCTGGACCTCTCCTGGCGTGCGCTCTGACTTGAGTTTCGAGGCGCATCCACCAGTGGCCACGAGGGCCTCCTAGGAGGCCGACCAAAGGAGAAAACGAGGGAGAGGTAGCAGTGCACGGTTCCCCCCGGGGCCGTAGGCGACCCGAAGAGGAGGTGGAGGAGGAGCACGGAAGAGGAGGAGGAGCACGGAGGAGGGGGATGGGGGAGGAGGAGATGGAGGAGGAGGAGGAGGAGGAGGAGGAGGAGGAGGAGGAGGAGGAGGAGGAGGAAAAGAAGGAAAAGGAAAGAAAAGGAAAGGTAAAAGGAAAGGAGAGGAGGAGGAGGAGGAGGAGGAGGAGGAGGAGGAGGATGGGGAGGAGGAGGAGGAGGAAGGAGGAGGAGGAGGAAAAGGAGGGGGGATGAGGGAGGAGGAGGAGGAAGAGGAAAAGGGAGGAAGAACACGGAGGAGGAGGGAGGAAGAGGAGGAGGAGGAGGAGGAGGAGGAGGAGGAGGAGGAGGAGGGAGGACAAGACAAGAGTACTTACGAGCCAATTGGTCACTGTCTTGCTGGGGAGGGAAGCCCGAAAAGGCTTGAAATCAGTTCGACTGAGAATATGTAGATGGCTCTGTGAGGGCTGTGTGAGAGCGCCTACCAGCGGCCCTGCGGGGGAATCCTCTGGCCTACGGAAGGACCAAGCGGGGGCATGCTGCCCCTCAGAGGCCCTCCAGAGGCACCTTATCCCCTGAGAGCTCTAGGTGCGAGTCAAGAGGTCGCAATCCTACAATATATTATCCTTCTAATGCTGCCTGGTCAGGCGCCTGAGGAGGTTGATGGGGGCGGAAGGAGGGAGGAGGAGGAGGAGGAGGAGGAGGAGGAGGAGGAGGAGGAGGAGGAGGAGGAGGAGGAGGAGGAGGAGGAGGAGGAGGGGAAGGAGGGAGGACGATGGAGGAAGGGGAGGAAAAGGAGGAGGAAGAGGAGCAGGAGGACGGGTCGCCTAAGCCTTTTTTTTCGGAGAACCCTCCAGGTAGCGGTAGGGGTACCTTCTCCTCCTCCGAGCCCCAGAGCCCGCCTCGCCGACGGCCTCGGCACGCCCGCTCGCGGGGTCGAAGCGCAGCACCGAGGAGGCCGAATCCTCAGCGCTCGGCCGGAGCGCCGCCGCGGCTGGTCGGCTGCATCCAAGATGGTCCCAAGAAGGCCCGCAAGGCCTGCACGGTGTGTGTGTGTGGCCATCGTCGTCGTCGTCGTCGTCGTCGTCGTCGTCGTCGTCGTCGTCGTCGTCATCGAAAGCTCTGGGGGCCTTGAAGATGGTTCCAAGAGCCGAAAGGCTCCAATAGGGCCCCACGAAGGCCCCCAGATGCCTTCGAGTGGCTCCCAGAGCGGAGCTGAGTGCTGCTACGCATCCCAGGTCAGTTCAACTGGCCTGGCACGTGTTCTTGGAGTGTTCGCGAGCGCAAACGGAAGGGCCGCGCGCCGTCCAAAGCTACTGCTAACAAGCAGGAGCCTAAATTGCACACGAGAGAGAGAGAGAGAGGGAAACAGAGACAACAAGAGAACAGCGGGAAGTGAGACTAGCCGGGGCGGGCTGCGCGGCGCTCACGGAAAGGGTGCCATCGGCAGCTAGCAACCGCCGGAGGTGCACGCCAAATTGCCGGGCAATTAGCTGGCAGTGTGGTGTCCCGTGACTGCGGCGTGGGGCAAACCCGCGGGAGACACAGGAAACCGAGGAGCTCGGGTCCCGGGCGGCCGGGCGGGGCGGCCGGCGCGAGCCGGCCAGCGGCGATTTGAGAAGCAAGGGGCCTTATACGCGAGATGACGTAGCGACCTCACGCGGTGGCCTACGCGGGCCGCTGCCGCGGCACGCTGTGCTGGGAACGAGGGCGCCGACGCGCGACCTTGCGCGGGCAGCCTGCGCGCCAATGTCGGCGCAGACGACCCCGTTGCTTCGCGTCGCCCATTTGGGGTCGGTGCTGGCCCTGGGCACGGCGGGGTTCTCACCACTCGGGGGCGGTGCTGGGCTCTGCGGTGCTCCTCCTCGCCTCCCTCGGGTCCTGGCCCTTCGGTTCGGCTTCGGCTGGGGCCCAGCTCAGCGCCCCCCCCCCTGCAGAGGGAGCTCAACTCGTCTTAAGGGTCCAAGGCCTGTTTTTGTTCCCAGACAATGTGTATAGAATGGCCGTAAGGTCCTCGTCTCAGGGTTTGGGGGTACTGGGTCTTACGGTCTCAGGGCCTTGGGGTCTTATGGTCGTTGGCTCCTGGGGCCTTAGGCTCGGGGGCCTGAGGACCTTTGGCTCTAAGGGACTTGGGTGTATCAAGAACTAGGGCTCTTTGGGACTCAAAGTGTCAGAGCGTTCTGCCCTCAGGGTCTGAGGGCTTTCGAGCCTTACTGGATGAGGCCCTCAGGGTACGGAGGTACTCGGGTCTTTGAGGACTTCGGGCCTTAAGGTCTTTGGGCAGCAGGGCCAAAATGTCTTGGGGTCTTAGGTTCTCAGGGCAGCAGGGCCTTAGGGACTTAGGGTAAACGGATCGGGTCTCAAGGTCTGAGCGTATTTGTGTTTTCGCGTCTGTTTGTCTTAGGGTCTTACGCTCAAAGGGTCTTCTGTCCTTAGGGCCTTAGGGTCTTGGGGCTCTAGGTTCTCAGGGTATTGGGGCCGTAGGGCCTTTGGGTCCTAGGGTCTGAGGGTGCTAGGTCTTGAGGGCCTTGGGGTCGCACGAATTTAGGGTCTTAGGGTCTGACTGGTTTAGGGTCGTCGTGCCTGAGGGTGTCAGGGCATTATGGCCATAGGGTATGATGGCTTTAGGGTCCTAGGGTCCTGGGTCCTTAGAGCCTTAGGGTCTTAGCAGATCAAGGTTTTTAGGACGCTCGGTCATCAAGGTCTTGGGGCTTAGGGAAGGATATTGAGGCCTGAGGGCATTAGGGCCGTATGGTCTTACGGTTTTCGGGCATTCGGGAACTAGACTCTGACGGCCTTAGGGCTTTAGGGCCTGAGTGTCGCAGGGCCTTCGGGTCTTTAGGTCTGATGGTGCTAGGGTCTCATGGTGTTTGGGTCCTAGAATCTTAGGCTCTTAGGGTCTTCAGGCATTAGAACCTTCGGGCCTTCGGATCACAGGGTCTTGAAGTCTTAGTTCATCAAGGCCTCAGGGCATTATAATATTAGTGCAGTCCGGTCTTACCCTCCTGGTGACTTAGGGCTTGAGCACCTTAGCGCCTTAGGGTCGTAGGGCCTTAGGGTATGAGGGTCTAAGGGTCTTACGCTCTTAGAGCCTCAGGGCCTTAGGGTATTAGGGTATTCGGGCATTAGTGTCTTGGGGTCCTAGGGCCTCTGGGTCTTAGGCTCGTAGTGCTTTTGGGTCGTACAGCCTTCGGGCCTTAGAGGGACTTCGGGTGATGTGCCCTTAGGGTCTTATGGTCGTAGGGTATTCGGGTCTTGGGGCCTTAGCGTATTCTCGGGGGGCACAAGGTTGGGGTTGGGGCTAAGGTGGGGTTGGAGGGAAAATCGCTCCAACTGGCCCCTGGAAAAAGGAAACGCGTTGCACGGGAGCATCCAGCTGGGCCCGTTCCCCAGCCCCACCTGGGGATGCCCTCCCTCTACGAAACCTCCCATATTCGGGTCTCGAGGTCTCAGGGTCTTGGGGCTGGATGGTTTTTGAGGGTCTTAGGGCTCTGCCTTCGGGTTCTGGTGCCCAAGGCCCGCGGGGGCGACGCGGAAGGCGGGCGCGCGGGTGCGCCGGCAATGGCCCGGGCGGGTAAACCACTCGGCCGGAGTTGTTCGGCTCCCCGGCCAGCCTGGGCGGAGACAAGTTGGCTCTTGTGGTATGTTGAGGTCTCAGGGCCGTAGGGTCTTGGGGCATGAAGGCCTCAGGGTCTTGGGCTCTTAAGGCACCAGAGCCTGTGGGACTTGCGGTCTTCGGGCCTTGGCGGGTCATGGCTTTAGGGTATCAGGGTCCTGGGGTCTGAAGGCTGTCGAGCCTCAGAGTCTTAGGGCTATAGTGCGTTAGGGCCTTGGGGTCCCAGGGCCTTCTGGTCTTAGGGCTGCAGGGTCGTAGAAAGTTCTGGACTTCTGGTCTGAGGGTATCACGTCTTGGTGTTTCGTGGTCTTCGAGACCTAGGCTCACAGGGTTCTTGGGCCCTCGGGTCTTAGGGCCTTCGGGCCGTAGGGTCTCAGGATCCTGGGCCCGCACTGTCTTGGGGCCTTCGCGTCTTAGGGTCGTAGGGCCTGCGCGTCGCAAGGTGAGATCTCAAGGTCTCAAGGCCTGAAGGCCTGCGGGCCTCTGGGCCTTGGGGCCTTCGGGTCTGGGGGCTTCAGGGTCTAAGGATCTGCGGCGGCGTCGTCGGATTATGGTCTGCGAGGCCCGTCTGCCGGCCCCCGGCGGGGACGAAGTCAGCGCATGAAACGGGTCACGGGTTGGACTGTGCCCCGGAAACTAAGACCCCAATGAGATCGGCCCAGGTCGAACTGGGCACCGCTAAACTGGGCTCCGTTGAAGTATAGCCTGGCTGAACTGGGCCCCGGTGGAACTGGGCCCCAGTTGAACTGGATCCCAGCTGAACTCGGCCCCAGAGTGTACCGCTTCGACGCCTGGCGCGGGGCCGAGTTCAGATGAGACCGAGTTCAGCTGGGGGCCCAGTTCGGCTAGGGCCCAAGTCAGCTGGGGCCCAAATTCAGTCTAAGGCCCAATTCAGCCGGGGACCAGTTCAACCCGCTTCCAAGAGGCCCCCACGAGGCCCCACGAGGCCCCCCACTATGCAGCCAACATGCCCCCGAGGGCCCTGCCCAGAGCCCTAAAGAAGCCTCCTAAAGAGATCCCCAAAAAGTCTTCCAAGGAGTCGCCTCCAAGAGCGCCCCAAGAAGCCATCGAGAGGACTTCTCCTCCTCCTCCTCCTCCTCCTCCTCCTCCACCTCCACCTCCACCTCCACCTCCTCCTCCTCCTCCTCCTCCTCCTCCTCCTCCTCCTCCCCCTCCCTCCTTCCATCATCATCATCATCATCATCATCATCATCATCATCATCATCATCATCATCATCATCATCATCATCATCATCATCATCATCATCATCCTCATCCTCATCCTCATCCTCATCCTCATCCTCATCCTCATCATCCTCATCCGCCTCCTCCTCCTCCTCCTCATCAGCAGCAGCATCATCATCGTCATCATCTCTGCCTCCATCCCCGTTCCTCGTAAATAACTCCACCCTGGCGCACCCCGAGAAGTGTCCGTAGGGCGGGCCAGGCGTTTCGCCTGAGACTTCCTCACCATGAACGATCCTGAAACTAGAAAATTGCAAATGTTTTACAGATGGAGGACGGGTGATTTTCAAAATGTGGCTCTCGCCTCAGAGCCGCGAACATTCGTCTTAAAAGTTTGCAAGGGTTGCGCGGGAGGAGGGTGGCTCGTTTGCAAAATGTGGCTCTCGTACGAGCGCTGCCCAAACTGGTGTTTAGTTCTAAGCGTTGCGAGAGCTCTCGGGCCCTGTGGGTGTCTTCCGGCAGCTGCGCCTCGCCGAATCGTCACCCAGAACGACCCTCTGGGCCGCAGGGCCCAGGCACGCGGCCGTCGTGAGGAGATCGAGGCGGTCTGGCCTTGACCTCCTGGGGGCCAGCTTCGACCTGCGTGACCCACACAAGCCCCAACCCAGGGCGCCAAACTACTTAGCTCGACAGGTGGGGTCGAAGCAGGCGCCAATACAGTCGGCACCATCACCACAGTCGCAAGGGGCCAAAGACGGTGCTCCTTCCCCTGTCTCGCGGCGTCCCGGCCGAGGCCTCGCCATCCTCCAGCTCGAGGAGCCATCGTGGAGCGGCGCGCTGGTGGCGGCGCGCTGGTGGCGGTGCCTGTCGGACGAAGAGTTCCCGAAATTGATCGAAGCAGGACGCTGGAGGTCAAGACTGCGCAACAGTTTCCGACCGCCTCGGCACGACCGCTCCGCTGGTGGTCCTCGTCGTCGTCGTCGTGCCAGCTGCGCGACATCGATCCGATCACGGGCGCCGCCAAGACCGCCTCCCCGCCTCGGCCCTCCCCCGCGCCTCCTCCTCCACCTCCCCTTCGCCTCCCCCCCGTAGCCCCCAAAGCCTCCTCCTCCACCTCCCCTTCGCTTCCCCTCCGTAGCCCCTCAAGGCCTCCTCCCCCTCCAC